CACACACCCCCACACATTTACACAGTCACACACCCCCACACACTTACACACTCTCACATACACCCAACACACTCACACTCATACTCACACACAGTCACACTCATGCAGTCACACACACACTCACATTCCCACACTCACACACACACCCCCACATACTCACACACACTCTCACACACACTCGATTCCACCATTGCCTTTTCCCGTCATGCTGCTTCTTGGGTGTCCCATCCGTGTCGTCCAAGGACCATGTCCTCGTCCTTACGTGGGACAGCTCTGCAGGCTCCCGTGACATCCCACGGATATTTATTTATCGCCTGCTGCATGCCAGTCCCCACGCGAGTGCCACAGTTACCATGGTGACTCGAGGCAGGCCCCGCCTTCTGGAAGAGCAGAGTGACGAAGCCCTGCGGTCCAGTGCTGGCTGCCAGTTCCCAGCCCTCGGCAGGTGCTGCTGTGGGCCCAGGGGCGCCACAGTGAATAAAACCCAGGGGACCCCCGCCCAGGGCTCCGCCGCCTGGGAGCTGACTTCTAGCCTCGGGCGAACGGAGAAGCGGGGTGCCGGGGTGGGGAGCTACTGGAGGAAACACTGGGTCGGACAGCGGAGGGGGTGTGTAGCCAGGGGGCGGGGGAGGGGGAGGGCCAGAGCGGGGCCGGTGTCTGGCCAGGGTGCCCTCAGCAGCCAGGCAGGAGGTAAGAGGGGCCCTGGGCAGCTGTGGGAGCCGCAGTGGCTGTCCGTTGGGTGTGCTGTGTGGACGGAGGGGCCGGGACAGGGCCAGGACCTGGGCCTGCTGTAGCGAGGGTAAGAGATCAGGACAGGGTGGCATTAGCAGCACTTGGCTGCCTATGGGGGGAGTGGGGGGAGGCCTCAGTTCTCTCCTCTGGGAAATGGGCTGATACCCTACTCTGCGGGGGCCACCACACAAGTAAGGCTGTGGGCGAGTCTCTAGCCCCACCCCACCCTCATCTGCTCCTGCGCTCCCTGGGGTTGACACGTGGCATCTCAGTGCTCCTGTCTCCCTCACACACAGCCTCAACACGCACCATATACTATACACACCACACACATAACACACATACTACACACCACATAAAACACACAGCATATACTACACACCACATACAACATGCATACTACACACACCACATACATAACACGCATGATACACACCACATAAAACACACAGCATATACTATACACCACACACATAACACACATACTACACACACCACATACTATACACCACACACATAACACGCATAATACACACCACATAGTACACATACCACACACCACACATAACATGCCACACACAAAACAAACACCACACACCACATGCTACACACACCACACACACCATACATCATATACCAAACAGACACCACACATACTGTATACCACAGACCATACATTCCTGTACCACACCCCCTACACACACGCTGTATGGCACAGGCCATGCCCTCCACCTGAGCTTCACTTCCTGCCTGGGCCCTGGCGTCATGGGGCAGCCCGGCCCGCTGCCTCTGTCACTTTGGCCATCACTGCCAGCCTGGCTGCTCTGTGGCCTGCACCCTGTGTCTGGGGACAAGGCTGCTTGCATGACCCTGAGGGTCAGGTCAGGAGCTCTGCTGGGCGGGAGCCCTGGGCCTCTCCCCAGATCCCCCCAGGCTGGCCTGGCCCAGCCTCCAGGTGCGTAAGATGTGGCTCTGTTTGTCCAAGCCCAAAGGGCAGGTGTCTCCGGAGTCCTGGCCCGGACGCTCCGCTGTCTCTCCTGGCAGAGCGCAGAGCAGGGCCGTGCTGGGGCCGGCCTGGACATGCCGGCCCGGTTCTCTGAAGCCCACCACGCCGCTGTGGAAGTGGCCTGGGCCTGCCGGCCCGGTTCTCTGAAGCCGCTGCGTGTGAGCCTGCGGCTGGAGGGGGTGGGCGGGGGGAGATGGGCTCCAGGCCTGGGGGCTCCTTCTCCCCCACCAGCTCTGCATGTCCTTAAGTCCCTCACGACTTCAGAGCGGGGGACCCAGATTTCCATGCGTGCTGAGCCCTGCCCGCGGTGTGGCCAGTCCCAGTTTGCCTCCTGTCTACTCTTTTGTAGGCTTTGCGTTTTGAACCATGGCAATGGGGTTCTTTAAAAACTGAATGCGGGGCCTGCGCCGTGGCTCACTTGGTTAATCCTCCGCCTGTGGCGCCGGCATCCCATATGGGCGCCGGGTTCTAGTTCCAGTTGCTCCTCTTCTAGTCCAGCTCTCTGCTCTGGCTGGGGAGGGCAGTAGAGGATGGCCCAAGTGCTTGGGCCCTGCACCCCTTGGGAGACCAGGAGGAAGCACCTGGCTCCTGGCTTCCGATCAGTGCAGCTCCAGCCGTTGCGGCCATCTGGGGAGTGAACCAACAGAAGGAAGACCTTTCTCTGTCTCTCTCTCTCTCACTATCTATAACTACCTGTCAAATAAATTAAAAAAAAAACTGAATGCAGGGGCCCCCCTTGTTCCCAGGGGATGCCTGAAACCATGGATAGAATCAGATCCTATCCCAGCAGAGACGGTCTCTCCCATGCACACGGATCTAGGATACAGTTTAATGTATGACCAAGCACAGGAATGACCGGTACGTGAGTGCGACCTCCAGAGCCTTCATGTGCCGGGCATGGCCACCCGTGCGTGCTTGATGAGGCACCCAACGCAGCCTCTGGCCGTCGCATCGAGGTGACTGGAACACCCACACTTCAGTGCCCAGATGGGCCACCTGGTGACAGAGAACGAGCCTGAGTGGTTAGCGGGCGGGCAGTGTAGACAGCGTGGACACTCTGGACAGAGACACGATTCGCGACCCCTGGGAGAGAGACAGCAGGACAGGGCGAGATGGCTCACTGCCACTGCGAGCAGCGCACAGGTGGCAAGTGTTGAATCATTTATTTCTGGACTTTTCCATCCACACCACTGCCCAGACGACCATGGGTAACTGAGGCTGGACAGAGTGAAACGGCGCCTTAGGACGCGCTGTGCACAGTGAGCACACCCAGCCGCAGCACATCCGGCTCCCAGCGCCCCGGGTGACGAGCAGGAAGCCACCCCAACGAGGACACGCCACCGCCTCTGGGACCCTGACGTGAGCTCCAGTCTGCCCCTGTGGGCCCTCCGCCCCCTCCATGCTGCTCTCCCCTCATATCTGGAGTCGGATGACACGGGGCCCTCACAGGTGACCTCGCCAGCTCGCCTTGGAGCTGAGAGCGCCTTCGCTGGTGGGCATGGACTTGGCCACTGGAGGCCCCCACGGGCCAGCGTGGCCGCTCTGTCCAGCAGCAGCAGATCGTGCCCTTACACTTTTTTCCAGTGCCTGCCTGCCTGCCACCGTCAGAGCTGGCTTCTTTCCTGAATCACACGCATTGCAGTTTTTGCCCATTTCTTCCGAAGCTTAAGAAACTGGGATTCTCCTGTCCTGAGGTCAGGAACGCGTCCTAGCAGCTCCGCCAGGGTCCGTGGAGCTCAGCCTGGCCGAGAAGGGGCACTGCTGCCCTCTGGTGGCTGAACTGTAGAACAGCAAGGCGCATCCAGGGGGCGCCGAGCGGTTTTCCTGCCCCCCCCCCCCACAAAGGAACGCCCTTTCACTGTTCCTGGCCCTCACCTCGGGGCCTGGGCTCTTGCTCCTTTCTCTCGCTGAGCACCTTCCTCCGGCTCCCGGGTGGCACCTGCCTTCTCGTTCTCTAGCTCATTTACCTGCTGTCTCCAAACCCCTGTTTAGACTCCCTGCCTGCCGCCCCGCCCCCGCTCCCTCGCCTGTGTGGTTCGTCCCTGGACCTTAGGGCATCGGAGGTGGCAGGTGCTCAGAAAAACGTGCAGAAGAAGCAGGCGTGCGCATCAGCAGCAACCGAGATCCAGTGCAGCCTCGGCCTCAGAACCACACATTCACCCATTTCACAGAGGAGAAAACTGAGCCTTGAGACACGCATGTGGGCTGCCGAGCACCCAGAGAGGAGGAATGCCCGCGAGCGCCCGGTGGCCTGCTCTGGGCCTCTTCAGTCCCTTCTGCAAAGAGCAGAGTGGGCTCTCCGGCTTCCCTGCTGGGCGCTGGGGCAGGCCCCGCACGTGGGGTGCACAGCCTCAACCCTTGTTCTGGTTGCCGAGGGCGGCCGAGCCACATTGCCGTCTGTGCTCATGGCTTTGGGGTGGGAGGTGCAGGGACAGGGAGGTCAGGCCCAGGAGCTGGCAGGACTGGCCTCTGCTGAGGTGTGCCGTCTGGGGCCACTCAGGGAGTTGTGTCTCCTCCAGGGTCCGCATGTTGGCTGTGACCTTCCAGGCCCAGCTGTGGCCTCCCTGGTTCTGGGTCCAGCCGAGGGGTCAAGGGTTCTGGCTCAGCCCGCCAGGCTGGGGGGCTGCTGGCTGGTGTCACCTGCGCTCCAGCGGAGGGGCCAGGCCCGCGGCCGGCCGTGTCGGTGCGGGAGTCAGCAGCATCTTCTCCGGGCCTGGTGGGGCGAGAGCTTGATGGAGTCGGTGAGGTGGCTCTCCAGGATGTTGCGGTACTGGGGAAGGGACAGCCGGTCAGTGCGAGTGTCCCCGCGTGCCAAGGCCACCGCTGCGCCTGGCTTCGCATGTCCTCCCCAGGCAGGAAATCATGCCCCCCATCTCCCGGGAGCCCCTCCAGCCTCTCCCCAGGAGCCCAGGCCGTTGGGGTCTAGATTCAGGGCTCCTCCCAGGTCCCATCATTCTCCACTCCCAGAGGGACCTGTGAGGCAACGCTTGGGCTCAGGCAGAGATGAGGGAGGGCACGCCCCCCGCTGACAGCCCGACACCCCCACTGCCTCTTCCCCCTGCCCCCTCTGCCACCCCGGCCTCTCTCCAGCCCCGACCGAGGCACAGAGAAAGCCCTGCTCTGTCTGATCGCCCCCACCAGCTCTCCTCTCAGCAGGAGCCCAGCCTCTGGCTCAGGCTCAGGGCGCTGGGGGCAAGGACTCCCCAGGCGATGGCTCCCATGGGCTGGAACCTCGCTTCCTGGAGGGGCCCCGTGGGCCCCCCGCCCAGGTCTCGCCGGCTGCAGGGTTCCTGTGCGTGGCCCTCTGCAGCTGGGGCTGGGGGGGGGCGGCGCGCGGGCCAGCGGCTCCAGCTGCGGTGATGAGCCGGAGCGGGGCAGAGCCTCCCGCGTGCCATGCACATCTGTGCTGGGTGCTCTGGGGTCGTGTCTTCTCTCTGGTTTTATCTGCTTGGCAGCACAGGAGATCCCAACCACACCCTTAACTCCTGTGGCCCTGGGCCCCGGGCCCCGGGAGCTGGTGTCAGCCTTTCTGGCTGCTTCCTTGATCTCAGAGGCTCTCCTCGGCCCCTGAGAGGGTGCCCTGTCACCCTGTCGCTCACGCCACCCCAGACTGAGCCGTCACTGGCCCTGGGAGGGGCACTAGCTCCTGGCATTTGTTTCTTGGCTAGCCTCTTATTCTGACCCTTGCCTGGGAGGGCTTGGGCCGGCAGAGCACCAGCTGCCCCTAGAAGTCTAGCTAGTGGGCCTCGACTATCCCTTAGGAAATCCTTTTGAATTATTATAATTCTAAATTAGGATACACAGGCTGGGGCCAGCGTTGTGGCACAGGGGGGTAAGCGGCCGCTAGCAATGCCGGCGTCCACATCAGAGTGCAAGTTCTAGTCCCAGCTGCTCCACTTCCTATCCAGCTTCCTGCCAGTGCACCTGAGAAGGCAACAGAAGATGGCCCAAGTCCTTGGGTCCCTGCCATCCACGTGGGAGACCCGGATGGGGCTCCTGGCTCCTGGCTTCAGCTGGCCCAGACCTGGCCATTGCGGACATTTGGGGAGTGAACCAGTGGATGGAAGATCTCTCCATCCGTCCCACCCTTTGTTCCTCTGCCTGTCAAATGAATAAATAAATCTTTTAAAGGAAAAGAACACTTGGTCAGGCACGGTGTGACAATGTCTTGGGTAACAAGGAACCCCAGTTGTATACACAGTTGTGTAAGGGCACTATAATGTCTGCATTGTGACACAACTCTTACAATACACACACAGCTTATTGTAGAATTTTTTTTTAAAGTCTTTAGGGCGTTTCTTTTCTTTCCCTTTAAAAAGATTTATTTATTTATTTATTTATTTATTTATTTATTTATTTATTTATTTGAAAGGCGGAGTTAGAGAGGGAGAGACAGATCCCCCAGCTGCTAGTTTACTCCCCAAATGTCTGCAGTGTCGGGGGCTGGGCCATGCTGAAGCCAGGAGCTAGGAGCCTCTTCTGGGTCTCCCACGTGGGTGCAGGGGCCCAAGCACTTGGGCCATCTTCCACTGCTTTCTCAGGCCACAGCAGAGCGCTGCATCGAAGGTGAAGCAGCTGATACTGGAACCGGCGCCCATATGGGCTGGTGGCATGGCAGGAGGCTGCTTACCCCGCTGTACCTCAGTGCTGGCCCCCTTAACTTTTTTTTATTTGAGAGGGAGAGAGCATCCATTGACTCACTCCCCAGATGCCTGTAAAGGCTGGGCCAAAGCCAGGAGCTGGCAACTCATCGCAGGTCTCCCACGTCAGGGGCAGAGCCCCAGCTGCTTGGAATCATCACCCCCTGACTCTTCTGTCTGCCCTAGCAGGAAGCTGGAGTGTGGAGCGGAGCCGGGTATCGAACCCAGGTACTCCACGCCAGCCCCTGCATGCATTTGAATAGGAAAAACTGGGGAGCGGTCTGTGCTCTGCAACGGGAAGTCTGTCCCCGGGAAGCCCCAGGGAAGCCCCCACTTTGGTTTCCTGTGCCATCCTCTGCTCGGGCCCCTGGGCAGCTTGCTCGTCATCCAGGTAGGGTCCGGCTCGTGCAGCCTCAGGGAGGCTGTGACCCTGGGAGTCCTGCCTGTCACCTCACGGGCCTTCCTTTAGGCCCTGCACCCCGATGACCTCCTCAGGGTGCAGTAACTTCACGGAGCAGCTGCTAGCCCACTGGTTTCCCTCCTAGACAAGGTGATTGTTTGTCCCACTAACACTCCAGGAAGGAGGCCTCTTTCTCTGACGGAGGGCCTGCTCACTCCCCAGCTCCCTGTCGTGGCTCAGGGCGTCCCTAACCCATCGCCCCTCCTCTTGCCACATTAGAGATTGTGCGGCCGGCTGGAGGGCTCCGCTGCCTTCTCTCGTGCACTTGACTGCACCCCACCCCAGGGTTCTGTCCCAAGTGCCCTGGCCAGCTCCGGCCTCCCTCACTGTCGCCGGAGCCTGGGCCATGGTCTCTGCAGCAGGGAACTCCTCTGCTGGACGCCCCCGTGCGTCCCTTCCACCTACAAACAGCCGCCTTTCACCATCAGTGCCTCCTCTGTGCTGAACCCCTGGGAAGCTGCTTTAAAGACGGGGCAGCGGTGGATTGGGAGGTGGCTAAAGGCAGAGCCTGGAGATGGCTAAAGGCAGAGCCTGGATTCACATCTGGGCCTCTGGCCTTGCCCTTCTCTCTGCCCTCTGCCCCTCTCGCTCGCACCCTCAGTGGCCTCCCAGGTCCACCTGCACATTGCGAATGGCCCTTCCTAACCCCGCCCGTGCCGCTGCTCTGAGCAGGTGCCCTCGGCCACCCCAGCCACCAGCACCTCCGAGTCAGCTCCAGACCTTGCTCTGACGGTCCACACACAAATGTCGCACGCCCCTGACCTTGAGCCTACGAGGTCTGCACCTCGCCCTAGCCTGACAGCTCCCAGGATGCACTTCCTCTTAAGGAAGAGGGAACGGAGGCCCGGTGACTCGCAGGTCTTGCCCAGCCCCCGCCCCCGCAGAGAGCACTGGGACAGAGGTCAGATGCTGTCCAGCCTGAGGGCAGCACCGCACCTGTGACTCCCACCTTCTGATCAGCGCAGGGGACTGGCCTGGGGCCGCCACCCCTGCTTTTGGCAAGAATGTTTTAGAAAAGCCTAGCAGACGAGCTACCGTCCGCGAAGGGCACCATGTCTTCAAAGTCAGCACCACAGGGAAGGTGTTAACTCAGCCCCAACACAGTAGGGAGGACAGAATTTGGGTACTACAGATGCTCTCCGCACCCAGACACTGTCTGTGGGCAGATGGGAGCTTCCTGGGACTCTGCATTCAGTACTGTGCATGTGGGGGAGTACTAAACACTGATCACCCTGTGAGGTCAGCATGTGGGAATACTGAGCACCAATCACCCCATGAGGTCAGCACATGGAGGAGTACTAAACACCGATCACCCTGTGAGGCCAGCATGTGGAGGAGTACTGAGCACTGATCACCCATGAGGTCAGCATGTGGGAGTACTGAGTACCAATCACCCTGTGAGGTCAGCACATGGAAGAGTACTAAACACCGATCACCCTGTAAGGTCAGCATGTGGAGGAGTACTAAGCACTGATCACCCAGTGAGGTCAGCATGTGGAGGAGTACTAAACACCAATCACACTGTGAGGTCAGCACATGGAGGAGTACTAAGCACTGATCACCCTGTGAGGTCAGCACATGGAGGAGTACTGAGCACCAATCACCCCGTGAGATCAGCATGTGGAGGAGTACTAAGCTGATCACCCAATGAGGTCAGCATGTGGAGGAGTACTAAACACTGATCACCCAATGAGGTCAGCACGTGGAGGAGTACTGAGCACCGATCACCCTGTGAGGTCAGGAGGTCCAGGCACCTGCCTGAGGGGAGCCTGTTCAGTGACCTTGTGGTAAAGCCACCTTTCTCCCCTGTGCACTGAGAGGCAGACACCTGCTGCTTCTGTCTGAATCCAAGCTGGAGGAGCTGCGGGCCAGAGGAGAGGCAGCAGCCCAGCCCCCGGGGCAGCCCTGGGGTCCAGCCCCCGAGGTGTGCGGGTGGCAGGCGCCAGTCCTCTCCCCTGCCTCCGTCGCGGGCGGTACTTCTGTCCTTCAAAGCTGGTGGCACGGGGCCGGACAGACCAGTCACCACCACGACAACAGCAGGTGCTTCCGCTTAGGGGAGACCTCCCACCTCCCACTGTCAGTGCTCGCGGCCCCCGCGCTGACTCCACGCTGACTCATTGCCACAATCTGCTCTCCCCTCTTCTGGGGAGCCCACCCTGACTACTCCCAGAGCAGTGGAACGGGCTGAGCCCCCCACCCCGTATCAATCTGCCGGGCCCTCTTCTGAGCTCCCACACCCCCATCAGAGCGCTGAAACCCTGCCACTGCTCCCAGCCACCTGCCGTGAGCTCCCCCCGCCTTGCCTGGACCGTGGGGGCTGAGTGTGCGCCTCTCCGTGCGCCCGGTCGCCAGCTCCTGTCCCACCATGCAGTACCTGTGTTTCAGTCACTCACACGGCCCCCTCTCCTGAGAGCGGGGGTCCCCGGAGCCCAGCACTGGGCCTGGCTCATCTGATCACCCAGCAGGTGCTGGTGGAGCCGGGGCACACAGGGGTCCACGGCTCTTCACGGTTTGACCGCAGGAGGTCAGCGACTCCCACAACCTCGCTGTCCCACTGGGACAAACGCTTGGCGCCATGGCGCTTCTCTCCCACCAGTGAGGACTGGATTAGATGCTCATGTCTCAAACTCTAACTAAATTAGGGTCTGCGGTGTGAGCACCTGGACTGGAGTTTTTAGGATAACCAGCAGGACCACAAGGTACACACTCCAGAGCAGTCCCTCTGACTCCCGGGCTTCCAGAGCTGGAGTTCTGTTGAACCCTTTCAGCAGCCTGCTAAGAGGCTGACCCGGGGCCGGCGCTGTGGTGTAGCGGGTGAAGCCGCCGCCTGCAGGCTGGCATCCCATATGGGCTCAGGTTCAAGTCCTGGCTGCTCCACATCTGATCCAGCTCTCTGCTGTGGCCTGGGAAAGCAGTGGAAGTGCTTGGGCCCCTGCACCCACGTGGGAGATCCGGAAGAGGCTCCTGGCTCCTGGCTTCAGATCTGCACCGCTCTGGCCACTGCGGCCATTGGGGAGTGAAACAGCGGATGGAAGACCTCTCTCTCTCTCTCTCTCTCTCCCTCGCTCTCACTCTCTCTGCCTCTCCTTCTCTCTGTGTAACTCTGACTTTCACATAAATAAATAAATAAATCTTAAACCAAAAAAAAAAAAAAAAAAGGAGGATGACCCCACCTGTTCTCTGCAAGCTCCTTCCAGCCCCACCCCAGGCAGCAGCAGGTGCTACCGCCACAGCTACTCACCCTCGACAGAGCCCGACTGGCCAGCATCTCAAAGGCCTGCCCCACATTGATGTCGCTTTTGGCGCTGACTTCAAGGTAGGGGATATCCTTCTCTCGACACCAGCCTTGGGCTAACTCCTGGGGTACCTGAGTGAGAGGGAG